TTGTGAAAGTTTAACTTCACATTATTTGTTTCTCACAATGCTTCTGCCCGGCATGGCCAAGTGGTTAATAAAATACTAGCCCAAGAGTTGGCAGTGGGTGGTGATGATTAGCTGCCTTCCTCTAGTCTTTCACTGCAAAATTAGGGACGGCAAGTGCAGATGGCCCTCGTGTAGCTTTGCGCGAAATTCATAACAAACCAAAGCAAAATGCTTCTCAGAGGACATTTATCTACTTTCGAGAAATAGAATGAAAAGGAGTGAGGAGTATTAGTGAAATTTCTGAAAGTAAGCTGAACCATACCATACAACTGCAGATAAAGCTGAATCACCTTCTAATATTGTTGCAGGAATAGTACAAAAAATAATAAATTAAAATGATTCGTTGATGAGCAAAGCACATACAGTGATGTTAGTCATTACCTTGAAGTGTAATCCTCAGAAACTGGTTAACCAATTAACTTAAAACAGTTGTAGCTGATTTATCTTCTTATAGTATTTCAGACAACAATAACTAAACCCAATCTGTTGAGAAGCCAATTAGGGTCAATGATACCAATCGTCTGAACCAGAGTTGATTGTAATTCTTATTGCTGAGCAGTTGAAAGATCTTTGAATCTGGCCAAAAACAATACATAAACCAATTCAATGTTCATGGTAGAAAAAAGGCATAGAGAGGGTTCTTAATGACTTGTTTCCAAAGGTAAATGAACAGAAGATTCACACTGATTAATTAAATAAGGCTTAATAATGGATAAATAACTTAATAGATGGTGGATAGTTTATTTAGATACTGTCTATTCTATTTTTATATTTTGCTCCAAATATTTTCAACTACAACTATTCAGTTGTTTTCTAAAAGCTTTAGTGCCTGGAGCAACGTGACCAAATATTTAAATCAATACGAATCCTCTCCAAATTATGTTAATAATTTACCCTGTTGGTTGGACCTTGAAAATAAGCTCAGGAACGAAGGGACTATAGAAAAGCAAGCCCAGAATGTGCTTAATGAAAAGCAGCAATATTATCAAAATTAACTACAATAGTTTATAGCAAATAATATTTATCAAAGCACAACCTTGCACAACCGAGCATGACTGCCCACACTTATGAAGAGAAAAATGACAATACTTAGATTTGATGGAGTTTTTTATCAAATTCGATCCAGTTATGCAAGAGCATGTAAACAGGCTAACAAGTGATAAAACTTCATTACCATCATCATGTAGAACATGTGCAAAATGAATTACTTGAAATTATGGCTGACAAACTTAGAAATAACAAATAACTTAAATAACAAACATTTTTTCTATTAGATATCATATTAAACAAACGTCAGTCACTCTTCAACTTGTGTAAGTCCAAAATGTTGATTTTCAAATGATACAGCATTTTCTGAATGTTTTTCAAAACTGGTGATGCTATAGATCTGGGGTTGATTTAATATTTTTTGAAAGCTCTTAGCACCTTAGGTTGCATATTAAGGATTGTTATGGTCAAGACAATGATAATGGGTAAAATATGAATGTAGCAGAGTTGAGGTTCAAACCAGAACTCTCCAGCTAAATCCAAGAGTTTTGGAGTAGATGGCATAACTGAAACTTGCTTCTAGAGACATTGTCATTTACTTCAGTGATGCTATCTATTTGTTCAGATGTCTTAGCATGCTAATCCTCTAAGCCACATCTGGCCAAGTTTTGATAGAAGAAATCGTATTTTGAAACACTCACATAGAAAATAGATTAATGGCTGAAATGATTTGTGTAAAGATGAATTCAATTGAATCGAACTTTACTCTGAGTGTATGTTCTTTACGTTTTGTGTATTAGGTTAGAGTTCGATCATAGGACACTTTAAAAATGTGAAGATATATTCTGATGATAGTGTGATATGCATGCATATCGTGTGTTTCCTACCTTCTATAGTAGTATAGAAATTTTCAAAACTTTTATAATTTCTTAATTTCTGCACTGTAATAGCGGTAACACGTGGTCCAGCAAGTGATTAACTTTGTCTTATTCTAGTTGTTTCACCTATTGTTCACTAGTTGGTCACATTTCCTTTGCCCACAGGAATGTTTCAGTATAGTATAAAGGATTTGGGTCGAATGAGTCAGCACTGAAATATCTTTGGCTGGTCGATTATGACATTGACTGAAAGTGCTAGCTGACCAATGTTGTCAGGGAACAAAGGTCAGGAGATGATGCCTTCCACTAGACAAAGCAAGTGGGTTTACATTCTAGATTCGACAACGCTTTCTCAGCGCAGAATTCCATGACGCGATCGACAAAGAAGACGTACGACTTTGAGTGTTCAGCATTACATACATTGATTTTGGGAGAAAAAGAACTGGAAAGTTAAGCCCCAACAATCTGGAGGAAGAAGACTGTCCCATTGTCTGCGAGGATACGTATGTGAACTGTATGAATTGAATAAATGTTTTTAATCGTCTTGTAAGTATAGTCTTCTCTTTGTTCTTAAAGAGAAACACTCATTTTGTTCTCCTCAGTATTCCTGGGTGAATCTTCTGCTATTGTGGGTCTATCTACTTGATACTTGTAGGTTATCTAAGAATACCACATTAGCTCGTTTTCAGGTCAAATGAGTCATTTGTTTGTTAGTTGCTTAGTGTTTGTTTATTTTCGACAAATTTATTTTAGTTAAGTTAAAAAAGTTAAAAACAACAAACTAAATAGTACAGAATCTAATAATAATAAGAAACAGATACAGTAATAATACCTAGATGTTCATACACAGACACACCATAGAAGCCTATATTCTCTACGTTATTATGGCTTATTGACCACTAGGATAGTAAACGTTATGCATTTAACATTTTTCGTTGGTTTTATTGATATCCTATTGGCATGTCTTTACATCTGTTGTCTTAAAACGGTCACGTTTCACCTGAGCTTCGAGATTATATACAAAGGCAAACAAGCATGTTGAAGTCATATATCTAAAATATCTGGTCACTACTTATTCTTCAAAATCGTTTTACCTTTGGAGAATTTATGCTTATCGACTGGAAAACAATGAAGTTCCTCTGAAAAGTTACCAATGGAGTGAAAACGTCCTTTTATTAAATATATGTATGGATTGTTTGTTTGTTTGTAACTAAGCACAAAGCTACACAATGGGCTATCTGTGTTCTGCCCACCATGGGTATCGAAACCTGGATTCTAGCGTTGTAAGTCCGCAGATATACCTCTGTCCCGCTGGGGGGGGGGCGTATGTATGGAAGAAATATATAAACTATAACTGACATTACCAGTCAAATGAGTTATTATAGTAACTTTATCACTAGAATTGTAATGTTAAAATAGCATTACAGTAACAAGTATAATAATTTGCGATGACATTTAACGCATTTGGAAATAGTAAAGGGCGGGTTAAAGTATTGTTGCAACACTTTTATGCAGGCAATTTAGACAAATGGTTGTAGACGAGACACGACTAGTAAAACATTTGGGTAGTTTGCATGCCCTTCGCTTGAATGTTCACTATTCTATCATTGTCACACACGCCAATTAAGTTACGTTTTCTTGCAGCCATTGTGTGTTGGATCAATAAATCTTTGTTTATTTGAAAACATTTTACCGGTCAGACAATCAACCTCACGTAGACGTAACTTTATATAGTAAAACTACATATACGTAACTTTACTTAACAAAACTACACATACAATAAACAATAAAGTAATGGTACTTATAATAGTGTACAGAGTATGAAACAGTTATGAGCGTTCAGTATATGACATGGTTTTACGAGTTGAAACAAAGAAACTCACAAAAAACGAAGAATAAAACCCGTAGTAAAGAAAAAAGTAGCTAAAAGATGTTTATATTAGTCTATCAAACGAACTGAAAGTAAATTATTGCAAAGTAACATAAAAGTAAAGTTGTAATGAAGGCAAACATAGTTGAATATGCAGAAACGTCTGAATGCGTGTTCACAAAGTGATAAGCATATGGTTTTGAACGAACTGCGCATGCGTATTTTACACCTAAATAAGTCGAGAAAGGCTAAAGAAATAGTATTTACTGTAATGTTCATTATTTTTAGGAAATTACACGTGGGTTAAATGTTGTTTATGTGAAATATTTTGCATATAAAAAACTATAGTTAAAGTCAAAGCCAGTCGTTACGAGATGACAACAACAACATTATGCCATCATGTAGCATACTCGTTGTATTATAAAGGCTGACTAAGCAAAAAACAGGTAAGGTGATTTTGAATGGAAAAACCAATTTGCAATACAAACTCCTCGGACAAAGGCCTTTCTAACGATATGACATCGAGAAATTTGTGAGAAAAGACAAACGTAAGCGTATTATTTGTATAGATCATAAAAGGAAAAAGATATATATAATATTGATCATTAATCTTTATTGAAGATTAGTTAATTAGTGGTAATTTATAAAGATATTGGTAAACCAGTACGGTTCTTTGTTGTATTCGTCGCCCTTATTAAAGAAGTTAGTTCAAAAATGAAATGTGCTGCTCGTGATTCGACAAATTATGTATTCATTCACTTATACAAATACATTTGTAAATGTTAACAGCAATGTTATAATATTCGTGATACTATATATCATGAAGTTAATGACAGAATGTTTTACTCAAACAAAGTAGTTATTAGATCACGAAACAGATAAAAGTATTTCTATACATAAAAATTAAAATGTTCATGAAATTTTAATTTGTCATCACTTCAAATTACTGATTTATGCACTAGTGTCATTGGTCGTTGTTACGTGCTACATATAATTAGTAATACACTTTCTATTTTTTATACTCTCGTTCCTGAATATTTATATTTAATAATAAGTCGATACTTGACAAACTTCGCTAAAGACGTTTCAGTATTATAGTGTTGATATTTCAAACAATCTGACCAGAAGATGCTCTAAAAGTACGACTTTCCCTTTAGAACTTAGCATATGCCCCCTCATTTTCAACAAGCTCAGTTGGAATGTGCTGCTTGCTGCCTGCAGACAAGAACGAGGCTCGAAGAGAGCTTGTAAACATATTCCGCTTATAGCGACTAGAGACTCGTAGTTAGTACCATGGTGGTGCAGCCTATCGAGCAGTTTACTGCCGACTGGTGCTGCTGGGCTGATGTCAGAATGGAAATATGTTAGTGTAGCCTGTAGGCAGCCTACCGGAGGTTCCTTCTATTTGTAGCGTGACAGTCACTCGGACTTATAAGTGACCGTGGTTTTCAAACTGAGCATTAAACGTATGATTTCACTCGGTACAGGAATCATGCAGGATTACTAGTTAATGCTGCCAGGAGATCAGTATAACAGCAGTTTAACACTTAATTCAAATCCAAAAGGTTTAGTGGAAAATATGGATGTGCTACCGAGCGGAGGAATCTTCGGCGAACTTCAGGTGGTTCATGACACGGGGTACTTCTCGGCTCAGCCTTCTCTGGAAGATCGATGGCAGCAGGTAGGTCGAAACCCTTTACTTGTAAATACCCGCCAATCAAAATATTGCTGGGCTCATCTCTGTCTGAATAGCGGATAACGTCGAGGCGTCAAGCGGGCAAGTACCTTCGGTTTTTGTGTAGACACTTTTATCGAAATATATACGTCTTGTGTCAGCACAGATGAAATTAACTTTTAAGAATAAATAATAACACTTAATGATTATATCAGTTTTTAATATAAGATTTTGATTCTTGTAAGAATAACTCCAACAACTGGTAGTTGTTGGACTGTTCGATTAGTACTATGTAGTGTTATAACTCTATACGGTCGCGGACTAATAGATTCCATCTCGGTCTAGACGATATACAATTTAGTAATGCAGAAGCATAAAATTATATAATAACTTCGGGGGACACCAACGTCGACATGTTTTCGTGATGATCATTGAAAGTATGCATATGCCAGACCAGTGCTTAACGTAATGTATTTTATTATGAAACAGTATGAACATACACATGAAAATGTAAATCATTAGTCACCGTATTTTAGATACGTAAAAGATTAAGCACCCAAAAAAACAAAACAAAAACCATTATCGTAACGTTATTAGAAGCTAATTTGATAAGACATGGTGTTAACCAAAGTGCCGCTGGTTAGTTACTTTGTATAAATTCGGTAAAAATAGAACAATGTAAAGACACATAAGTTGGGCACCTAACAGTTTTTTTAACGTAGCTTCACTGTATACTAAGACTCCAATTCTGTGATCAAAGAGTTAGTATTGTTGTTTAATTCATATGGTTTTGAGGGCTTTATAACCTCAGCCTGAAATGAGTGTTATGGAATTATTCGCACGAAAAACTTAAATTATAATTTGTATTGATCAACTGTATAGTTTATATGTGTGGAGACGTTATAACTTGCCAGACAGTGTAAGTTGTGTAATGACCGTCTGTTACCGTTATTAAGGTGTATTCGTACTTCTTATACCAGCATTGAGCTATGCTAGTGATAAGCCTAAAGTGTTACCAATATCATATTTTAATGGTGTTCAGTTGTTACTACTGGTGAATTATATTTACGTTAATCTGTCACTTGTGGTTCAACAGTTAACACTGGTGAGTTTTCACTTTGCTCAACAATCACCACTGTTGTTGATGATTTTTGGGTTTTTATTTGCTGCTAATTTGTCACCACTGATAAACTGTGTGTTTGTGTTAACCTGTCACACTTATAATATTTGTTTATTGTACGCAACAAGTGAGTTGTCTTCCTGATCACAATTTACCTTTACAACTTAATAGTGGTTACCTGTGATGATTTTCTTTGTCACTAGTAGTGAATTGGGTTGGTGATCATCCATTTGTCACCACTGGTAAATTTGTTTGTTTATGTTTGTCACTTCTGTTGAGTTGTGTTGGTTTTCATTCGTCACCATTAATGATATAAGTTGGTGATCATCCGTTTGTCACCACTGGTAAATTTGTTTGTTTATGTTTGTCACTTCTGGTGAGTTGTGTTGGTTTTCATTCGTCACCATTAATGATATGAGTTGGTGATCATCCGTTTGTCACCACTGGTAAACTTGTTTGTTTATGTTTGTCACTTCTAGTGAGTTGTGTTGGTTTTCATTCGTCACCATTAATGATATAAGTTGGTGATCATCCGTTTGTCACCACTGGTAAATGTGTTTGTTTATGTTTGTCACTTCTGGTGAGTTGTGTTGGTGTTCAACCGTCACCACTAAATATTTGTGTATGTGTTAATCTATCAGCTATGATAATTGACTTATCATTGATGGGTTGTGTTACTACTGTTAAGCTGCATTGTTAGTCACTTGTGTCATCTTTGCTGAGTTCATCATTGGTAGGTTCTGTTGGCATTAATTTGTTACCAATAGTGAACTTATTTCATGGTACTCATCTGGCATGACTGGTAAGTGTTATTGGCGTTAATCTGTTTAAAAAGTTTTGTTTCAAGTCTCTCATATATCACCATCTTTAATGTTTATGATTGTACCCTCCCTCTTTACGTTTGTTTCTATTTTTCTGCCAATCACTACTGGATTGATTTGTTTGTTTCCACTAATCAGGTTTATTTCCGGTTATTTATTTATTTACCTCCATCTGAAGAGACTTATTTCAAGACTCATACCGGTTGCCCGAGGTGAAGTTAGTTTAAGAATATATTTGTCACCAGTTGTAAAATGTTTGTTTTAAAATGATTCTCCTTCTTCACTGATCTAATTAATTTGTGCTTTTTTTACACAAACTAATCATGTATATTTAAACGTGTTCATACATTATTGATGGTTGGTTTTGTTTTATCTCCTATGTCACCTCTGCATCTGCTAAAGTTTGTTTCTAGTTGCTCAAGTGACTCATTTAATACCAATTGTTATCAGTTATTTTGATCTGAATCGTTTAGATTTTTTCTTAATTTCTTAACGATGTGAACAATATAATAAGTTCTAATCTGTTATGGTTATCTTATTATAATACATGTAGCCATTTGAAATAAATATCTTATACAATGTCACAATTGTTGTTTAATGTTTTTACCCTACTTTATAATCGTTTTGTGTAAGTTACTATCGTGCGAGAATTGTTATTTCTAAACAATATATATGTTTATATTTAAACATTATATATTTACATATTACAATATTTGAATGAAAATTTTAGTGACTATTCAAAGTACTTGGATAATAAAGATTACCAGTTTTGAATTTAACACTCTCAAATTCACCTCTTTGGTATTATTTGTAGTAAAAATGACGTAGATCGTTAAGTGACTGTTTGCAGTCTGGAATGTTTCATGACATCTCGTCATTATCCAAGGTTCAAAGATTAATGCGGTGTAGAAGCGAATCTAACCACAAATCTAGAAGCACTATGGTGCCTCCAGACAAGTTAAGAAGGATGTCATGACTCACCACACAGGAACGAACTCTTATCCAACTTTTGCCATATCTGTTCCAGATACTGAAATGCCACTATTCATGTGTTTATAAACATATCCAATCACAGGATCATCTCTGTTTGACATTAGGAGAAATGAAAATACGGTAGAATTATTATTGTTTGTGTCCTTCTTCTTACTGAAGACCTGCATGAAACACAATTCCACGGGTACGTGTAAATCTGAACTGGTGTTTGACAACTGTAACACATATATATTTATTGTTATTTTGATTTTTATAACTCTAATGTTCAATTGCTCTCCAAAGCCACAAGATTACGCTACGCTGTTAAGGTCCTTCTTCTTACTGAAGACCTGCATGAAACACAATTCCACGGGTACGTGTAAATCTGAACTGGTGTTTGACAACTGTAACACATATATATATTATTGTTATTTTGATTTTTATAACTCTAATGTTCAATTGCTCTCCAAAGCCACAAGATTACGCTACGCTGTTAAGGTCCTTCTGGACATTCTGAAATGAGGGAATGGTGTAGTACCTAAAAAGCTGCATCGGTGTTGTTAGTGTCCCCTGACGTCTGGGATTCGAACCACACTTCGAATTGAATCTTATTCTCCGTTACTTGAAAAAAAAATAATATTCAACACGGGAAGTAGTGATATCTAATCATAACATGTTCATGTACAAAATAGTCAAGTTGAAATAAATGGGTCATCCATTTAAAGATGTGTCATTAAATACTTCTATAAAAGAGCAAACAAGTTAAACAAGAAAATATTAATGAAGGTCCACCCTTTTATTGCAACTGGAATAAGCAGCAATATGAACATAAGAAAAAGGAGAGCAAGTTTTTTTTATTTAACTTTTACATTACATATTTACAGAGATTGGCCTTTTACATAGCTTCTTTAATATCACATCTGTATATAACTTGTACATGATAAATGTTTTCATCAGATAATTCAATTTTTTTGGAGATGGGGAGATCAAGTTATATTATCACGTGATATTTTTAATATTTCTGATTCTAAATATCGTAGTTTGTTTTGAATCTGAATTTCAGAAACTGTGGATGTCAAAATTATTGTTGTGCGGTTCAGTGTTGTTTGGATAAAATAAAAAGTGGGAAATTAATTGTTTTGTTTTAAGTTTACTTACTAATTAAGTATTATTCTTTTACAAGCTACATCTATTACATTAAGGAAGATTTGTTTTTAGAACAGGTATGACGTATTGACCACTGGAGCAATAATTTTCCAGTACACAAGTTTTAAATACATTGTTAGATTGTTGATTTAAATACTAATACTTTCTTTACCGTTAAAACTTATGTACTTGAGAATGACCGCTCCAATTGAAACGTCCTACCTGTTCTGAAAACAAATCTTACTTACTGTAAAAGCTGTACCTTGTAAGAGAATAAAGGTGGGAAAGTCTCGATGATCTGTATATCAAGAGACACTTACTAACGATTCCTAGTTATACCTATGTACTTACAGAAAGCATTCGCATTCACTCACAATTATTATGGAACTACAGTATATCAATCTCATGAGTGTGGTTGATATACTGTAGTTCTATAATAAATATGAGTTGACTAGCTGACAAACACAATTCTCCAGTGGAATCTGCCACTCTTTTGTAACGAACCAACAACACATACAAACAGTCGTTCTTATCTCGTATAGTACAAAAACTTAACAGAAATAACTAATGTGTAACATACTGTAGTTCTATAATGATCGTGTGGTTTATATACTGTAGTTCTATGATATTAGTGTGGTTGATATACTGTAGTTTTATAATAATCGTGTGGTTGATATACTGTAATTCTATAATAATCATGAGATTGATATACTGTAGTTTTATAATAATCGTGTGGTTGATATACTGTAATTCTATAATAATAGTGTGGTTGATATACTGTAGTTCTATAATAATCTGGTGGTTATTTCATTTTTCAGTCTTTCTCACTACTTCTCTATCGCAACATAATAGTTGATTCATATATTCAGTGGATTTTTATAAAAACATTTTCTGTTTGTTTTGGACGTAATTAGGAATACAAAACTATTTTTTATGGTTATGAAAAA